CAGTATAGGTAAAGTGGTAGTTCTGCATGAATATTACTTTGGTAGGATATAGTTCAGCATAACTTCTTTGGAGATGTAAGCTAGACTAACATAAACGTGGTTATAGTTATATAACTTTGTCCAGTGCAATATTCTTATAAAATCATTCCTGTGAAGTGGGCTAGTTCCATTTATACAAAAATTAATGTGGACCAGGCCTCAAATTACAAAGTATTTGCAGTGGAGACCATATTTGCTTATTTACACATGCATGGTGTTTAGTGTCAAAGGGCCTGGTACTGAATGCTGCTTATAATAATAATAACAATAATAACAGCAATAACATAAAAGGGCTACAAGTCTGGCTGGGGAGTCACCACAGTGTCTGTAATTAGTTGTAGTAAAAATTATCATTTCTGAGGCATCTGGGAACACTGACTCTCAAAGATGAACAGTAACTATGTAGTCATCCCTGTCATGGCACAGCCTTAAAGACATTTTTGTCAGGGCACTTCCTTACTTTTTGCTTGCTCTGTACCACGAAATGAAGGTAATGGTTGCATGTTTTTTCTTTGCAGTCTTGCCATTACATGGACCTCTGAGGCTGCCCATTTTCATGACTCACTTAACAATGCTTCAAGGGGAACAGATAACATTTTGAAAGCATAACGTAGCAATATCGAAGCAGTTTCTCTACACAGACTCATTCTGAAAAAGGAGGTGAAACAAGAGTTTCCATTTATAGAGAACTTGGCTGAAGAAATCACTTTTGAAGGAGGGAATCACTGCACAGTTCAGGGCAGGGGTCTGCTTCCTGATATTGTGTGTCAAGTCTTGTTTGGTTGATGAAAGTTCCTCTTTGATGAAAGTTTTCTGGAGTGAATAACAATTACTCCAAATTAATACCACCACTCAGAACAATTGTAGTTAACATAGAAGACTTCCAAATAATTCGTCCAGAACTCAGTTTTTTGTTAAATTTCATTAAAGAACAACCAAGCTTTAGGAAAGTGTTTTATTGGGGAATTTGCTGATACAGACAGGAAATATGAAATGCCCTGTGGTTACAACCAGCAGTCCACCTGCCTCCAAATTAGAGCCTTGATTTCTGCCTGGATGCAAGCTAGTGATCAGTGAGAAAGTAAAGAAAATAACTTTTTTGAAACATAAGGGGTCTTCTTTGGAAACTTAAGAAGGAGACATGAAAAAATTCCCATGCTCTCTACTTTTTCTAACATCCTATTTCTATAAATTTAAAAATGTGAGTTCTGTCACCTGATAACGTGGCAAAAAGAAACTTCTCCAGAACAATGGCAGAGATGTAGCACAACAGCTCTGAAGAACGGGCTTTCAAAAAGCAGAAGGCAGCCTGCTTGCAGGTTTCCATGGGGTTTCATCAGGCAAATGAATCCCAGGATCAAATGGCAAGTCACCAGATGTATTCAAGAGAAAGTTTCTGTTCTTGTCTCTGCTACTTAAGGCATGTTTACAGGGCACAGGGAAGCACCATGCAGTGATAACTTAGAGTCTCATGGTATTCTCAAATTGAATTTATATAGCCTGGTTCTCATCTGGCTATAAAGTCCATATGAATGAGGCTATCTTTCTGCCAAAATCCAAACCAGGTCATTTAGAGCATGCAGAAGTAGCCCTGTGTAACTCTGCTTTGCTAAAGTATCCTTAAGTGCTGTGTGACATAAAACTGGGGCTGCTTCTCCTGGAGTTTCTGTTACCTGGCTGCAAAGTGCTTTGATGCATCTGTCCTGCCTTGCAAAGGTGCAGACGACTGAATACACCACTTTTTTTCACAGCTTAATGTTGCACAGACGAAATAAAGTTGTGGTTTCATGGTGGTTATGTTGTATTTTGTTTTGTTTTGTTTTTCCAAGCTTGTGAGAGCAGGAGAGCTGCATGGTACACAGCATGTCAGGGAAGAAGCTACTGTGACTGCTTTAGATCTTCTACTCTGTGCTCAGTGGGGAGTCACAGCCAGGCCATGTGTGAGCAAGTGTGTGTCATGCTAGTGACACATTCCTTGAGGGAGGGGACCGGTGAGGAGCTGGGCCTCACCTCCCAGCAGCAGCAGGGCCCTAGGCAGAAGTAATGGAAGGGACTGGTTATTCCAGGCGAGGACAGGTCCAGGTGTGGCAAGAGCACAGACTAAAGCAGCAGCAATGGACTGAGCAACCAAATGTCTGCACCTGAAGCACGGACTTGACAGAAACCTTCCTCAAGCAGCTGTTTCCAAGGGACCTTGGGTAAATCCACTTGAGGTTAAGGATTTAACTTTTTTTTCCCTCCTCACTGTTAAGCCTCAGTGAATGTGACATCTTTTTACAGGGAGTAGGGGGGTGGGGAAGAGGAGGGGAGGATAGAGGGCAATTTTTGCTATAGAGTGTGCTATACCTGAGCTCCAGCTCAGGTTCTAGCAGCTTTGAATATCTGCAGTGAACTGCAGGGCACCTTTGTTGGTGCCAACAAGAAGTTGGGGGGGGGGGCAGAAGGAGGGGCGGGGGAAGAGAAAGGGAGCAGGCACCATGTGCTTCCCATCAGGACCTCAGAGGGGGATGCTGTCTGTGCCACTTGCCAAGACTGTTGGTAGAGAAACAGCTGGGCTTTTGGCTCCTCCTCAGCCTGGCAGGCTGTTGACTAGCAGCACTGGTTGGTTCAGGGGGCAGCTGCCTTGCATTTCAGGGCACATTGTCCTGGCTCTTCCGCTCCTCTGCTGGGACAGCGTGTGTCTGTGTGTGTGTGCGTGCACACGCCCTTCCTTTGTGTCCTTAGTGCAGAGCATCCTCAGACGAAATCCTGAGTGCCTGAAACAAGCAGTAAAGCTCGGCAGCAACATGACAGCCCCAGCAGCTTGTCCTCCCTATGTTATGTGCTGTAGCTGTGCTTCTTCACCTGGGATGAGCTTAGTGCCAGGGAGCTCAGTTTCTGACTGGGGAACAGAGGAAGGGAACACTAAATCCTTCTGCAGAATCCTTCTTTCTTGCAAATATGGGTAACTACTTTTAAAGAAAAGGCTCCTTCCCTTCTCCCCTTCTCCCTCTCCATTCTTTTGGAGAGGAAAATGCTCTGAGTTTTGAAGTGCTCAAGGCTGCAGGGTGGGAAGGGTCTGGGTCGGGAGAGCTTTCAGAGGTGACTGGCAACTCTAAGATGAAGAAGGACTTGAGGTGATGGGGTGAGAAGGCAGAGGAGACTGCAGCAGAATTGTGGTAAAGAGGGAGAAACCACCTCACCTATTCACTAAGATGGAGCTGAGTGAATGTTCAGCAGAAGCTTGCTATGGTTAGCCTAAAGAAAAAGAGACAAGGGAGGGGGAATTTTACCTGGGTCTGTGCCTGTTCAACACATTACAAGGGCTTACATCTTTCAGCCAAGGGCCTGGCAGCCACAGAGTGGGCTCAGAAGTTATTTTAAATGGCACAGAACTGAGAGACATTAGCTGGAAACACAGATCCCAGTTCCCCTCACAGTGCAAGTGAACCTTGCCTTAGGTTTATGTGCTGAAGAAGCTTCTGTGAGGGTAATGTTTAGGCTGCCATTTCATGTTTGGTTTTATGCACAGTGAGGGAGTGATATTATGGTGGCAGAACTTCACTGCCAGAGAGGAAGTTGCACACGCATTGCTGCGTCCATGAACGTCATGTGTGCCTTCAAGCGCCTCCCAAATATGGGTTGTCAGGAGTTGTAGGTAGGGTTTTGGTGTGATCTGTGAGAATAGTCTCTCCCACAGTAACAAGACAGTTTCCAGTAGTGTTCAGGGTTATTTTTGGTGGCTTGTCCCCTCCTTTCAGTCCCTGCGGCATACCCTGCCTGGCACAGGAGCCCTGGCAGTGCCAGGCAGAGATCGCCTGGCTGGGAGCACTTGCTTGCCTGTGTCTACAATGCAGAGGGAATGCTACTGAACATGCAGAATTTGTTTTACTGTGGTGGGCTGACCTTGGCCCGCTGTGAGCTGCAGCGCCTCCAGGAAATATCCACCTGCTCCACTGTGCTTTCTGCAGCGGACTGTGTGCTTCGGCACCTGGAGCGCCTCCGGCCCTCCTCCTGCTCTAAGTGTCTACCGTTTCTCAGTCCTCACTGCCTGTCCTCTCTTAAACAAACACGCTTCGCCAGAGGCACCGCCATCTCAGCGGAGGGGCTCAGCCATGCCCTGTGGTGGGTCAGCTGGAGTTGGCTGGAACAGGCTGTGTCTGGCACAGCCTCTCCTCACAGGGGCCACCCTGCAGCCAGCGCCTCACTACAGACACCTGGTGCAGATACGCTGAGTAACGCTTGGCTAGTGGTATTTGGGGAGTGAGAGCTGCTCCCTCTCCTTCAGACGAGAGAGGGTCCCAACCTCAGGGCAGGGGTAAGGGCTCTTCAGACACAATCAACTGGGAGATGAGGCAGGATGGGAGATCAGTGGTGTTGGTTTGGAGTGGGCTCACGAGGGACCCACTGCAGAATTTCTCAGTACTTATTTCCTCACTTTTGAGGCTGAGGAGCTTGTGTGGCACCTCACTTTTCTCGTGAGAGCTCTGTTGGGTTGTGCCGACCTGCAGGCATGTTCTCAGCAGGTATGGAAGCAGATGAGCAGCCCTAAAACCCCTCAGGTTGCACATGAAGGGCTTCTGGGAAAACTTTCTCCTCCTGTGCGTGTCTGCAGCCATAAACATCCCCTTCCTTTGAGGAACTTCATCAGTTGTTTGCCTTCATTTTTACTTTTTAAAAATACGTTTTATTTGCGCAAGACACACAGAGTATGGATCCTCCCCTTGGAGAGGAGAAGAGGGAATGGTAATAACCCCCGTGACACACTGGGCATTTGGAAAATGGTGATGATCCTTCTGAGGGGCCGAGCTAACAGTCTGACTGTAAGAGGTTTAGATCTGGAGCCAGACATCATGGTTAGGCCTGTCTGTGGTTATAATGTAGTTGTTTGGGTTTTGTAGAAGTTGTCTGAAGGAATCTGAATTAAAAGAAAAACAAAAACAAAAAAACAAAGGGAAACCTTTTTCTGGCAGTCCTGGTCTCTATTTGATCTGGCACCAGAACTGATTTAAGTCTGTCCTCATTCTAGTTTCAAAATTGCTCTGAGCTTTAGTGTGACAGTTACCCTGCTTCCTCTCCCTCCCCACCATGGCCAAGGTCACTGAGAGCACAAAACTGTATCTCTTGCCTGAAGATGACCTTAGGCTGCTGGGCTGAGATTTGTCTGAGTGCACAGCTAATGCCCTGCCAGCACAGGTGTGGACTTGCAGGTGCTAAACAAGGTCCTAAACAAGTGATACAACAACAGCGATGAGTTTCTGCAAAACATCCACAAGAAGCTGAAAGCATAAAAGGTATCTGCCCCAAATGATGGAACTGACAGCCAGATGCTGGTGGAACACATTGCAGCATGTGATTGGAAGAAGATGATGGTGGTTTCCAGTGAGAGAATATCGTGTTTACACAATTTAGGCAGGAGTACATCCAAGAATTCTTACTCCATTTCACTGCTTTTTGCTGGTTGTAAACATAGAAGCTCTTTTAGGAACAGGCTCTGCAGTAGAAGCGGAAGTTTAGCAGGGATCTAAATGAGGTAAGGATAGAAGGAATTTTTCTGTCATACTGTATGTGGTAGACTGCAAAGCTTGTGTGTTTAAATGCAATACAGCACGTGATTGTCCTACTGCTTGCAGGCTTGAGTTAAAGCCTCACAAATTTTCTTTCCGTGTGTGTGTGTAGAACTGAATGCTCACTCTGGATAGCTTCTGAATGCTCAAGCCAAGCTATTTTTCATTAGCACATTGTTATTACTGGTGGACTCAGAAAAACAAGGGAGAGTAGCATTCTCCTGTGCTTGCTCTTGTTCTGGTTAAGACCAATGCCATTCCTCTGCTGAGCAGCCACAGATGGTGTCTCTCCATAGCCTAACTCTGCAAGCACCTGTGCCAAGTGAAGATTTTTCTCTGCCTGCAGCTCTGAAAATGGAAGAATAGATTTGGAGTCTCTTTCCCCTAATCCATGAAAGTTCCTTAGTCCTAACCTGATATGCTTTGCTTGAGGCTGTTAAAAAGTTTTTGCAGATTCCCTACTGCCAAAGAGCTTTTGGAGTCCTAATCTCCAGCTGGCAGGCAGCTGGAGGGTGGTAACATTTTCACCTGGAATGGCCAGGTAGGTGACTTCTGTTAAAAACTTGGTAATTCTTGTGTGGTAACTCTTCACATTCCTGAGGAATATCAAAATATATAGAAACTAAAGAAGGACTGAAACTTACAAGTGTATTAACCAAGCAGTGTGGCTTTCTGTGGTGATGGCAGAGACTTGACATGACAGTATGGCATGCACCATCCTAAAGGGTACATGGAAGAATTAGATGGTATGTATGGACTTTGGGTTCAGCATGTGCCGTAAATATCCTGCTGCCGATATTGGTTGCACAGAAAAAGAACATTGAAGTAATATGAAGTTTTCAGCATTAAAATCAAATAAGGAAATTAACCAGCTAAACTCCTAGCAGTAAAACCAGCATGCAGTTTTTCAGAGTACATGCTTAGTATCAAAATACATAGTATATTTAACTACATCTTAAATCAGATCAAACAGTCGTACTGCGTGTGCCAAGCTTCTAGAAAAGAGTTGCTACTAAAATTTTTCCCTTTGTTTATCTTTTATTCCTTATCTTGTTATTTTTACAATCTTGGAAGAGGGCTTTTTTGACATTCATTTATTTTATGTGAAAAGAGTTATCATTCCATAGTATCTTTTTTTTGTGTTTACCTAGTCCCTGTTTGAAGTCTGTGCAATTCACACCTCAGTAAATGCAACAGGGCATTAATACAGCTGTCCTGGAATGTTGGGTTTGTGAGACTTTCAAAGTAGTGTGACTCTGCCAAAGAAACTTTTTGTTGTGTGTTACAATTGTTCTTCTTAGTCCATGGCTAGCCTTTGAAAATGCAGAGCTGACTTTCAGTTTATCTGTTAAAACTTACATCTGTATTTCTGATACCAAAGCAGCACTGGTTCTGAGCTCTAAACTTATGGCACATTGATCAGATGTGCACAGAAGCACCTTAATAGTTGCTTCTGTGAGAAGGGACACAGGAAAAGAGGACAAAGATGTGATTTAATGTGAGGGTGGGGGGAATTGGAAGATTACACTGATTGGATCAGTATTCCAAGCTTCAACTGGTTTTGCTGTGTTGCTAAGGTAGTTGTGAATTTTTGTTTGATTTTGTCATTAGAAGGAAAGTACATATTGCATTCTTCTGTAATAGCTTATATGCAGCAAATTCTGCTTAGATTTCTGTGTGCAAAGCTCAAACTTTTTGTGTTTGAAGAAAATTAAGCACTGAACTTTTACCTCTGCCATAGAATCTGAGACTGAATACAGGCTTATGGTGAAAGTGGCCCTAGCAAGAAACATTTAGAAAGACAGCTTCGCAGACAACAAGTAGAAAAGATGGTAAAGCTGCATTTGCACTTTATCAAGGAAAGAGTTGAGCCTTTATACAGCCTATAAGCCACTGATGTTGATATTTTTCTGGGGTTTTCTTTGTTTGGGCTTTTTTATTTGCTCGTTTGTCGCAGTGTTTTGAAGTGGGCATCCAGGGTTATGGCCTCTACTGTTGGATTCTTTCCCTGCCTCACCCTAAGTCTGGAGACTGGAATTAAGTGTTTTTTGTGCATAGGGGTGCTGGCAGTGTAGATGCAGGATCTGGTTTTGAAGTTTTACCTAAAGCAGATCTTTTCTGGATTGCTGTGTATCCCAGTGGGGATCAACTAAGGTCATACATACTGCTGTGTAAAGGCAGAGACGAAGAATGGAGGAATGCTGACTCCATTCAGGGTTCATCTGTAGTAGCTGTCACATGCTAGCAAGTCCTCATCCCTTAATCCTCCAGGCAGAAAGTGGAAGGATGGGGGAATAATGTATGCCTGGGTTTTGCACCACTGTAGGTATGGGATGCCAGTGGTAAGCACTGGACCTGGACCTGGACCTGAAAACTGAATAGTGCTTTGCAGCAACTTGATTGAGATGTGCCCAAAGTGTCCTTGTGATTTAGACTACACTATGAGCTTTAGTTTGGCTCATAGGAGCGTAATGGGGAAGGGATGGTGCTGCTCTATACAACACAGGGCTTGATGGAGTACTGTTGAAGAACTACTGTCAGCAGTAGTCAACAGGCAAAGAACAGTCTGACAGTGGTAACATGTTCAGGATCTGTGTAACTATGCATTTGTTAAAGCTGAATTTTTCAAAAATGACTGTTGAATTTAGATGCCCCTGTTTTGTGACCTTGCTCTACCACGCCTCAGCCTGATTATTCTGTGTACTGAGCTTCTAAAATTCCTTCTGGTGGCAGTGGGAAGTGTAAAATGGTTTACAGTTCTCAATATCAAAGCCCAAAACACCATGTACTAACCAGCCCAAATGAGAGAGCAGAAATTCAAGTGGTCATGTAATTTTTTATCCAAGATCTGATTCAACTAGGTGAAGGATCAAAATCTGGTGGGGAATTGAGGGTGTGTTTTTTCATTGGAGCTCAGACATTTGTAGTTCTTCATCTGTGGACATCAAAGTGCTTTGAAGTGCAGTGTTAAGTATTGTTATCTCTGTTTTTTTTAAAGCTGTGGTAAAGTGACAAGCCAGACTTCACAAAGGGCACTAGCTCAACTAAGGAAAATGTCTAAATTTCATGAGTCTTTGTCCAGTGCTTCATCAGACCCCTGTTCTGCAAGAAGGCCATTTCATTGACTAAATCCTACCAGCTTAGACACAAAGTATATTGTCAAGAGGCGAGTTATGCATGCATCAGGATTTGGCCCCAAAAGAGGAAATTATTTTATCTCCCCACATGATCAATAGCTGCAGTTGAGCTGAGACCTTGGCTGTGATGTGGTGGGTCCTTGCCTTGCTTTAGGATAACTGCTCCTGTTAAACTAACTACTCCAGCAAGAGCAGCAGCTGCAGTGTAGTGCAGACATGCCTAAACTAGCTTAAATAGTTCAGGTACTGTTAGCCACTGAGCCAAAGAACCATAGAGTTCGGCATGGGCTTGATGCCTGAGGATTTTATCCTGCTTTTTATGAGTTTCTTTACCATCAGAATGCTTTATGAGCATTTCTTTACCATCTCAGCTCAAGCAAGCCTAGCAATGTGTTGAAAAGATGGCTGGTGAATCTGGTTCTCTTTCTATAATAGTACTAGTACTTTTGCCTGCAGAGCTGAGCATGGTGCTGGGGATGATTGTAGGAGATACTGCCTTTGTACAAGTGTAGCAAAAACTGTTTTTCCTCTCTCTGCCTACTGTTCTCCCTCTTATTACCTATCCTGGTGTTCATCAAGACCTGCCTTGCCTTTAAGATTGTATGCTGTGAAACTGCATAGCAATTAAGGTTCTGCTGCAGATCATAAATATCTAGGAGTTGATGAAAGCTTGGAGAACCAGCTGCCTCCTGGAAAAGCTTTTGGCCTTGCCTGACTATGGATCTAACAGGAGAATCTGTAGAGGTTAGATATGGAAAAACCAAGGACCATTACCCCCGTCAATTAATGGGGACCAGGGCAGCAGAAGCATTCCTGATGCATTCTCTCAAGTCATTGCCCAGATGGTGGGCTCTCAGCTCAGCCTCTGCAAAACTGCTCTGCTGATACCTGTAACTCATCAGTTTTCTCCTGGCAGTCAAGGACATGAGCAGGAACGATGGTTCAGGTCCCTAAAACCTAAGTAACTTCTGCTGAGTCAATAGGGGAGGTACCATCTATGCCCTCAATTTTGTTTTCAGGAACAGCCTCATCAAATAGTATTTGTGGCCAGAGACCCTAAGTAGACTGCTGAGCTGTTAAATTGCTAACCTACCCACTAGCCCTAGTTTATTCTGCAGCAGAAATACAAGCATACCTGGACCAACCCCCAGAACTTAACTCTGAACTCTCATTCTGTCAGAATCCCCAGCTTGTTTTTAAAATGGCATTTATTTGTGCTAAACTACAAAAGAGTTGGATGCAGTCTGCCAATTGTGCTTTCCCTCTCTGTGCACTAAATTTTGTTCATTTGCCTTACATGCCTCAAGTTGCTCTAACGCTGCTAGGAAAGTAATTGCCTTGCACTTTCTCTTTCTGATGCCCACGGGTGACTGTGGGGGACTCCTCCCTGGGTACAGTGCACAGTTAAAAGCCCAGCTTCTGCTGCTTTGCTTAAGACCTGGTTATTTCTTCTTCTTTTTTTTTCTTCTCTTTCTTTCTCTCTCTTTTTTTTTTTTTTTTTTTTTTTTGTCAGCTGCCTGTTATATCAATCACAGAGCTGGGATCTATTTATAGGTTGGGACTCAGAGTACTGTGTCCTAGTCACAAAGAGAGGCAGAGACGCAGAGGGGACTGTCGGCTGGTGCAGGCGGAACCAAAAGATATTTAATCAGCAATTAGAAACACCTGAGGGCAAGGGAAATTCTACTCCAGCCTCGAGCTTTATCTCTCAGCCTGCAGCATGTAAGTAGTGAACTTCTACCTTTTACTGCATTTATGGGGTTGTTTTTTGTTTTGGGCTTTTTTAATCCAAATGTTGCTCTGAACCAATCCTTTTAGCTGGGCTGAAAATTAAGGCAGCATCTCAGTATGGTTAAAGGTAGTATTTTTTTTTCTATTTTCACACTGTCAAAGGAAGGTCAGCATGACCCACAAGCAGAGGAGTTGGTTCAGAACTTTGTAGAAATCAGTCAGTTTCACTATTTGAGAGTGGCTTTTTCTCTGGAAATAAGCAAATGAAAGTTTGCGTGGAACAGTTTTGTTTTGGGAATAGAAAGGGTCAGGTTTGCTGGCATTCCAAAAAGGTCAATGTATAATGTAACACTGCTTAAGGGCTTACCAAGGACAGGTGCTATTTATCCCATGCTGGTAAAGGCAAACCTGGAAACTTCAGCAGTCCTGTCTTAAAAGAACCAAGCACCACCCTTTCCTCTATTGAAAAAAAAAAAAAAATCAAACCACCCCCCCCCCCCCCAACCCCCCCCTCCAGCTTCACATCAGACCTTCTGTTAGCATGGAGATGAAATTAAATTTTGCTTTTACTGAATGCATTTATCATTGAGCAGTTGACGTTTCTTTAATTTTAAAAGTCCCACAGCAACCAAAGTCTTCAGTGACAAAAGAGGGGTGCAAGTCTTTGTAAAGTCGGCACAGTGGTAGTCAGAGAAGGAACTTACTCTCTCATTGCTAATGAGCTGTTTGCTTTAAAGCAGACAAAATGCAAAATGTTTGAACAACATTGTATTTTTAGAGTATTTTAGTTAACAGGAATATGAAGAGAGGGAAGACAATAATTAGTCAGAAATTGTTTTTTATTGATAGCTTTTAGCACAAAGAGGTTTTTCTTGTTTCATATTTTTGCCTGAGTTTGGGGCTATAGGTTTTACAAAATTTAAATTTTTTATTTTTTTTTAAGTATAGAAATATTTCCTTCATTTATTGTTTTTATAATGTTTACTTCCCAAAATCCCAATATTACAATTTTTAATTTTGCTGTGCTAAACATTTTAATATAAATTTATAACTGAATCTGTGTTCTAAAAACTTTTCTTCCCCACAATTACCATTTTTGAAAGTAACAACAAATCAAATGAAGCTGAACTTAAAATAATTTGGAGGAACAAGTGTCTCATAAAAATAGAATAATAAAATCAGAGCTGTTTCATAGGTAAAATATCAAGTCCTAAAAAATACATGATAGCTGAGTTGCTTGGACTGACTGTAGAAAGGTGGCAAGTGAGCTTGCTCATAATTTCTTTATGTTGCATTTCTTTGCTGTACATTTTATAATACTCAAAGTTTTTAACTCAGGTTCTAGAGACAAAAAATCCTGGCAGCAAATTAATTCTGTCTGAGTTTTTAGCGATTGATATAAATACTCCATCCTTCAGCTAGAATGCTAGATATAAGAAAGGCTTTTAGGAAAGCGTGGATAAACGTGGTGGATGTATATACACAAATAGTGCCCAGAATAATGGTTACAATCCACTGCTTGGTATGAAGCTCCCCTCCCCCAAATAAAAAAAAATGTTAACCTGACCATTCTTATCATAGGAAGCTTCATTTTGATTATTAAGGCTTTTTGCTTTACTTAAAAATGAATGTAGTTGAATTATTTAACTCCCTTTTCTGTTTGTTTTGGCATGATATTACATTTATTGCCTCTCTGTGACAATCGTTATTGTGTAATAAAGGGAGAGCAGATTTTCCTGAAAGACATTAAAGAAATAAAGTTGCTGACTCTAACAACTAACTAACAAGGAATCTATCAGATAGCTGGTCTGAGGTTCCCCTAAAATTGAAAACCAAGAGACATGTTATCACTTGAAAAATGAATCTTTTTCTTCTTACATAAACAGAAATATCAGCATGACTATGCTTGGGAATTACTGCAAAAACTGATTTACTATAAATTTTTGCAGACATCCAAGCACTCCTGAAGTAGTCCTTCAAGTATAAAGCTAGAAAAATTTTAGTCTTAAGAATTTGTTTGGACTGTTCAATAGTTGTGTCATCGTAATTGCTGGACTTTATCCTTCTATTTTAACTGCATGTGGGTCTTTTCCCCTGTTAAACCTGCCATATCTTTTTATTACTGTATTTGGAAAAAGTAGCTAAGCATCTACTGTCCTGTAGCATACCAATCAATAGTTTATGGGACCACTTTTATTTGGAGGAAGGGAGTTACCTGCGGTTAGAGGGAAGACTTTGATGCATTATGTGGAAGTATTTGTTATTTAGTTTTTTCACTAATATTTCATGTTTTGTGGAATAAGTGTTTACCAGCCTCCAAACTGACTTACTCTGTACAGTGTAGTTTGTCACAGGGCTGTTGCATGAATTTATTTTTTTTTTATTCCTTAAACAACAAATAATTTTCATTTTGTCCTAGTTTATTTGTTTCTTTGACTGCAAAGTAATGATTGACATGCAGAGTCTCCTCTTCAAGCCCCTCCTTTCATTGCTGAGTATCGCACCCCTTATAAATAAAACCTCTGCCAAATCTGCTGCACAGGTGTCTGAAGCACATGCTCAGGTGTCTTCCTGTAAATCCCTGAGAATAGGGATTAAACACCAGCAGGAAAAAAAAAAAGAATACTCTTCTTGAAACGGTTCTGTGTTTTTAGGGGCCTTCTGAATAAAACCCCCAGCAGCCAGTTATTAAAGATTGTGTAGTGAGCTATCTCTCTTACGTCTTTTATAGCTTCACCTGTACATCTGTCCGTCTAGTTCTCTATTTTTACATTTCATTATGCTATGCTTGCTCTCCTCCTCTCTTCTTTTTCTTTCCTGAAGACACATTTCTATCTGGCACAGAAAATAAACTCAGATTTCGGGTAGTTATGTTAATCTAATTCAATCCTCTGTGGGTTAGGAGTGAAATTCTAATAGTGGAGCTGTTGAGGGCTTTTTTGTTAATGGCTTGGGGATTACATTGAGTTAAAGGCTCATTTCCTAATCAAACAGAGAGGGAGAGAGTGACTCCGAATATTTATGAGTCTCCCAGCGCGAGTTAAACATTGAACTCCAAAAGCAGGATTTCAATGCTGCAGAAAGAGTTAAAACCCCTCAGGGTTGCTGTGTCGAGGAGAAGGGAGGAAAAAAAAAAAAAAAGAAACCAGTTAAGCCATCAGCATTTTCAACTGCTGCATAACTTCAGTTTGGTGAGAGAAAATAATCATCTCACAGAGCTAAAATGGAAACCGTAGCAAGATATTTAAAACAAAGTCAAGTGATGCTTCAAAAAGGCTCTTATTTAGTGAAGCAGGATACACGCAAGGCATGCAGCAGCCTAATAGAAACTCCACATAAATATTCTAAATGAGAAGGATTGGAGGGTGGGCTGCCTTTTTTTTATTAGTGCCTGGAAAACCCGATTTAATTTTTTAATGCTTTTTATTTTTGTTCCTACTTAAATCTTGGGTAGCCTTTTCTTTAAAAAAAAAGTGTGGATAGGTCAATATCTAAATTGTTCTTCTTCTGTTATGTTGACTGGTATCTTTTGAGGCATTTATTTCTGTCCTTCAGTTCTTGCCTTGTTGTAGTTGAGAACTGGATTCGCTGTCACAGGAATGATTGACCAAATTAATGCCTGATTGCTTTTGTGATGAGTTCATCATACATGCTTGGGTAGACCCTGCTGTTACTGGAAAAGAGCAGGCCTGCCTGCCTGCAGCAAGCAGAGGGCCTCTGAGTTGCTAAAGGCCTGGTGTGTTGTGAACTAGCCAGCAGTCCTTTTTTTTTTTTTTTTTTTTTTTTTTTTTGTCTCAGAGCTTGGCTTGGATTTAGAAAATGTGTCTGTGGCGGGTGACCTGCACAAAATCAAGGCTGTGCCACGATCCTGCCTTTCTTCTGTAAAGAGGTCCTGAAGAGGAATGGGTATAGAAACCTGCTGTCTTCCAACACATGGCCAAGTCCATGTTCCTCAGTTTCCCCGCCTGTAAAATGATGCATGAGTGCCACCAAAAGTACTCCAAGATCTACAGAGAATAATCTTATATAAATCTCAAATGACTCATTTGCCCATGGCAAAAACTGCAAATCACTGACACAGGTGCATATCTTGAAAGCAAGAGGATTTTGTGCTGGCAACAAGAGTTACCCAAGTTTGTCTTTTTTTGTTTGTTTGTTTGTTTTGGGGTTGTTGGGCTTTTCTTTGTTTTTAAATACATTTGGTCCATGCCACCAAAAAGGTTTTCTTGGTTTGGTACGACAAGCAGATAGAAGGCTAGCTTACTCCTAGTATAACATTCCATGGTGTTGTCCTACACATTATGTCTGAATATGATCTTGGTGACTCTTGTTGAGAGGAAGCTCCAGGTTTATTGCTCAAAAGTGGTAAACTTTGGCAAAAAAAAGTAAGTTACTGTTTCGTTCTGGAGCAATGTGTATTGATGGTCATCCTGTATGCACTGAACTTGGTGTTTTTGCTGACATGTCTGTCTGGGTGCAGCACCTTGAGGTAAGCATTGGCACCTTGCCCTAGTTTAAAAATTATTTAAAACTGCGACCTGATGTGAATGCCTGAGGCCCATTCTCTGCTCTGTGCCTGACCTGCTGAGGAGAGCACCATCAGCTAGGGTGTACTTCATTAAATGCATTTTGAATACATAATATTTGTGCTTGTTCCCTCTAATAACTGACACCTATAGCACATCACTTTGAGACAGGAGCTTTCTGTGGCTGAGCTAAACACTGTATAACAACACTATTTCCTGCCTTCCTTTCCCTTGCCATCCCAGTGTCCTTTCTGTTTGCCTCAGCCTTTTCCTCTCCTGCACTATCATGCAGTGGCCGTGGCCTCGCAGTTTATATTTCCCCTGCTGACCTTTCGGGAAAAATACCCTTCCTTCTCTTTTTGTCCTTTCCAGTGCTATGCTGAATCCTTTGAATGACCTGCTGCTGTTTACCCTGAAGGTGGCTGCATTTCAGTACAGCTTAGCCTGGCATATACAGTTTATGAA